GCGGAGGGGAGGGTGGGAGGGGATGTGATTTTATGTTACCACTTATACAAGCTTTTGGCATTTTGACCGAATTCAGATTTTATCTTGTTAATCTAAATTGCTAAACACCAGTATATCCTTCCAATCAAAGTTCTTGATTATTTTGATGTTTCTTGAAATCTCAGCTTCTCTTAGGAAGATGTTAGGATTCTTGCTTCCAGTCTTGCACATATAGTAGCTCCTCCATCCATCATTTGCTCACTATAATTGTCAAAAATGGGAGCTGGTGGTCTCAGGATCTTTGAAACTGTTTTCTAGCTTTTACCTATTTCCAATAATATACCAAATATGCATGCAACTCCAAAAAACCCAAAAGAAATGCGAAGTGAATCAAATTAATGTTAAGCATTCTAAACAACCAAATGTTTGGGTAAACTTTGTCTTTTATGTAATGATAAGGCTTCTTAGACTAACTACAGTACTACAATATCTTATTGGTTGAAAATCAAACCCGCATCAAGTCTTACTTGAGAACCACAACTCAATTGAGAATAGGCTGGTTGAGGATGGTGAATCCAAAATCACCACCCCAATAGAAATCAGAAAATCCTAGCGGAAAGTACCGTTTGTTAGTTTCTTGTGATCTGGGCAGTGTTTTAATATGCGGGATGCGGCCGTATGCGTTGGGGAGGCCGATGCGGCGATGTGGCTTGATGCTGTCAATAAATATAAATTTTTTAAGGAAATCTAAAAAAATAGGTTAATTTATAGAAAAAAATTTGGAGGTGATATATGTGATAGTAGGTATTTAATTTATTCATTAACTCCAAAAGTATCAACTTTCAGATATTCTGCATCCACTATCTTCTGATAGAAACTAGAAACTTGAAAATAGCTTCATAAAACATTCAACAATCAACAAACAAAAGCACAACAAATCTACAACCACAAACTTTAAAGTTACAAAATACTACAAACTAAAAATCCATGAAGATTAAAGAGTTTAAAAATCAAGCTCAAGAAGAGTCAATGCAATCATCATCATTTCTCAAGTCTTGAGAGTGAGATTCAAATGATCCAATAACAGCCATGGTAGTGGCTAAAAAGTGATGTTTGGGGGGTTCAATACCCCCCAAACCCTTTCCCCCAATTTTGGGGGTCAAAATGACCTTATTACCCCTGCCCCAGGGGTTCAGTTTTGAAAAATATGGCAGACTGCATATGCGGTACGATGCGCTTGATGCGGGATGTGGCTCTGATGTGGAGAGATGCGGGGCATATGTGGGCACATCTCTCCAAACCGTATATGCGGACATGTGCGATGCATCGGCCAATGCATAATGCCTGATGCGGTCACATTTTAAAATACTGCTTCTGGGGTGGAAGTGATGTGGGTGATTATGTTGTAAATGGAATACCATCCAAATAACAAGTTTTAGGGGTTGAGTGTATCTTATTGTCAAAGGAAATTGGGTGGACCTCATGGATTGAGTTCCTCTTTGTAAGAGTTAGCAGGCTTGATGGAATGTAGTTAGTATGGGCTCCTAACGTTATAAATAAGGAATGTGAGAGAAAGAACATGTGTGGCTTAGTTGGGTCACCATATGGGAAAGGTGAGATTCCTATAGAGAGATTAAAACAAAACCTCTACACAACTAAGAGAGAGAGAAGCCAAGAGAGAAAGAAGAATCTTGATGAAGGAAGCCAAGAGAGAGAAGATCCTCAAGAAAGAAGGAAGCCAAGATAGAGAAAGATTCTCTTGAAGAAAGTAGCCTAGAGAAAGATTCTCTTGAAGAAACAAGGCAGGAGAGAGAAAGCCCCAAACAAGTAATATCTCTTCTCGGTGCCGCTTTTCATTGTGGAGAGAGAGAGAGAGCGAGAGAGAGAGAGAGAGAGAGAGAGAGAGAGAGAGAGAGAGAGAGAGAGAG